GGTCCCGGCACGGCCCACCGGGACACCCGCACCGGCTCCTGTCGCCACAGCCCCAAATGATTTGAATATCCCGGCGAGGTGGAGCGGCGGTTCCCGAGCTGGGTGCGCCCAGGGCGCCCTGGTGAGTGACCCCAGGGAAGGCAGTCGGGGCCTTTTGAGCGTGTGAAAAGTTCATGCTTCCGCAGGGGCACGGAAAGAGCCCGACACTTTGCCAAGCTCCAGAAACGCAGGAGCTACTTGATTGTGTTTATCTTGACTGATAACTGGATCGCGAGTGGAGGCGGGGGCGAGGGAGAGGCAAAGGATCGAGGTACACGGACCAAGTAATAATGAGCTCGCTCCAGACTGGTTTTTCTGGTTCAGCCTCCCTCCCTGGGACGCGCAGGGGGATCCGATGACGTCGCTGGCTGAGTCTCTCCCTCTTCCCTTCCTCCCTCCCCGCGTCCGCTTCTCCCCCCGCGCGCCCTCGCCGCGCACTCCTCCTAGTAACTTCTGTTCGGGGAGGCGCTGCCAGGAATAACCCGGTGCGTCCACAGACCGGGAGGGGAGGTTTATCAAGACAGGGAACGATTCTATGGGAAACGGGGAAGATGGGGGAGGGGAGAAGGAGGAGGTTTCCAGAACCCGAAAGGAAATTCTCAGGCTCCTACAGACACCCAAGTGTTTTTGCATGACAAGTAGAGACCCGCTCTCCAGGGAGTTCCCGGATCCCGGCCAGCGGGAGCGCACTGATCACTTTAAAAATCCCACTTCTTTTTCTTTAATGTTTCTATTGATTTTAGAGAGAGAGGAAGGAATTGGGGAGAGAAACAAACATTGATTGAGAGAAAAACATCTATCGGCTGCCTCCAACCCCCACTAGGGATGGAGCCAGCAACCTGGGCATGTGCCCTGATTGGGAATGTGTGAGCCCAGGGCCCTTCAGTCTGCAGGCCGATGCTCTGCCCACTGAGCCAAACCGGCTCCCCTGCCCCCGGCCCATCTCCGTACAGTGTCAGAAAAATAAATAAAGGCAAGAGGAGCCCGGGCAGGCGGTCGGGATCTCTCCCCTCCCTCCGCGCCCGCCCTCCCCCTGTCCTTAAGGAAATGCTACCAGACACCCCCTACCAGACACGCTCAGCCTCGGCGAGGAGCGGCCGCCGCGGCAGCGAGAACAAGGGCACCAGGGGGGTTTCCTCCCCCTCCTCCTCTCCCTCCTCTTCCTCCTTCTCTACCCCTAGGCTGGCCTAGCCAAGAGCAGGCTCGTACTTGGCACCAGCCTTTCCACTGCAACCCGCACTCAGCCTCCCACGGCGAGGGGCAGCCGGGCGCGCTGTCTCCCCCACCGCAGGAGGGTCTCCACCACCACGTCTCCGCGGACTGTGGCACAAGTCTCGGCCAAGTTGCGCGTTGGACGCCGAGGCTCCCAGGACCCCGGAGCAACTTGAAGGGTCTCCTGGCTCGTTGACAATATCCCTACGCATCTGGACTTTGGGGCGCTGGGTGCAGCCTGGGGGCGCGTGGAGGGCGGACTGGACCTTTGGGAGAACAGAGCGGCAGAAATGTAGGTTCCTCGGCTCGGTAAGTGGCCCGGGCGCTGTGTTTTTCCTGCCTCCGGTAGCGCGGGGGAGCTTGTTTCACTTTACACCGAAATAGCCTCCGCCGGGCTCCATCGCCCCTCCCGGCGCGTCCGCGGCGCTTCCCGGTTTCCCGGGGGTGAGGGTCGGAGCGGGCAGGGATGGGGGAGACCTCGGGAGGGGGGTCTGGCGCGTGGGGAAGTGCGGGGAATACCCTGGCCGCGGACCTATGCAGATGAGGGGAGGCTGCTTTGCGTAATGTCCTGGGGGGGAGGGGGCCGCGCGCGAG